AGCTACGGCAGCCCCGCTGCAGTTTCCTTGTGGTGTAAGCTATGCGCTGTCCGGAGCTACCAAGTGGCTGTCTCTAGGCACGACCTGTATACGGCATGTCATTGGCAAGTGGGCTACGTAACGAAATCGACGCGCGGACATGAGTCCGCTACCCTACTGCTATAATTGAACGCGCACGTAAGGGCGAGTGTGACATCGTGTAACCACTGAAGTACCTAGTCTACAAATATTTACGCAGGCATGTCGGACATGACATCCTCCCCTAGCTCGTAAATTCGGCATCATGATGATCCTACGTGGAGCATCAGGGCTAAGTACTCGGAGCATGCTTAGCGAGCATGATTCTTGTAGTGAAAACCCTACGACCCACAAAAAAGCAGAGAAGTATTCGACAGAAACTAACATAAGACTGGCATTGTATTCGAGAGGAGACTATCTTAAGAAAGTGTAAAAGGAACCGCGAGCAAAACAGCTTCAGCAATCTGGAGGTGTGCATTATCCACAAGAGAAGACGAAGCCGATCGAAATATCCACCATGAGTACCTGTGCCGGGTAGAGGGGGTTAGCAACTGGTTCCAGCAACTGGCAGCTAAAGCGCAGCAGTCGATGTCCATCGTCGTGCTGCAGGAGAACAAGCTATAGCAATGAAGAGCCTGAAGTTAAATGAGGTGGGCAACTCTATGCCTGCTTGGCTACGTGGCTGTGCAACATCCAGAACGAGGTCGTGTATCCGTAGACAACGCTCGGAATGACGTGAAAAGAGCAACAGCTCCACACATGTGCGATCAGTACTAAAATCACTTTTACATTACTAAAACGCTAGATACAGCACCTTCCAGCTAGGCACTCCGTACTGAGTGAAGATGACGTGCAAGATGCGAGGTGTAGCGATATCAACCTGTCCAGCGGACAAGTCTTCAGGTATCCATAAACACACCCGAGCTGTTTGAATATGCTATGACGCTCCTTCAACAGCAAAACACGACGTGTTAGACTACTAACGACTTGCTGCAATTAACACACCGTGTTCTTTGTAGCGTCGACGTCAACACGGTACCCCTTACCGTAATCGCCGCTTTGGAACACCGCTATCTGTACGGCTTCGTCAAACGCCTGCTAATCGTGTCCACTCGCTACCGCTGCAGACACATAGTTGTGAATCCCACACAGGAGTGCGTCGACCTGTAATTTCTCGTTGATGCCCCAGTCTGCCCCAATCTCTCTCAAGTCCTGAGCGTACTCGACCAGTCGCTTGCCGATCGTCTGGAGCCTCGCGTTCAAGTGCGAGACGACTTACGGCGCCAACTGCAACACCGTTTTCTTCGCGCATAGGAGACGCGCGAAGGTTCCGCAGTGCATCCTCCGAAATGGATCCGGCCATCGTGCCGAGCCACCGCAAAGCTTTCTCCCTCGCACTTCGCCGCCATCTCGAGAAATGAAGGCGATAACCAAGGGACAACTGAAACAATAGGTGCAGCAGCCGTTGCCGAGCTACCCAGAGAACACGTACATCAAGATAGACGACACGATGCACCACTGAACGAAGAAGGTACGAGCGAAGATGCCCAGGTCGTATGAATTCCGTTTCCACACGCAACCGACACGCTACTGCGACACTACGACTATCTCATCGGCAGTGTACACCGACGGACAGAATGCAACGGTCAGCAAAACCAAACGTAAACAGGCGCGTGCGTGCAGCAGCACGCGCAAATCGTTTTTATTAGCCAATCAAATCATTGAAAACGCCGCATTGCACGGCAGCTAAATCTGAACCAGTCAGTCGCTAAAATGGAGGCAGC